AGTAAGACTGATTCGAGCCGTGGTGTTTTTGTTGAGAGAGAAAGAGAGAGAGAGAGAGAGAGACAAGCCTCTCTAGTGCCGGCAGAAGAAGAAGAGTGAGAGAAGGAGAGAGCAGAAAGAAAGAGCGAGAGAGAGAGAGAGAGAGATGAGATAGCCCGCACGAAAGAAAGAAAGAGAGAGATGAGGATGCTGGGTGGGTTGTCATGCTGAGAGGGAACGATCACCATTTTGAGAAAGCTTAGGATCTGCATGGAGCAGCCGCAGCTGCTGGTGCTGGATGAGCCTACAAACCACCTGGACCAGCTGCCGGTTGTCAAATCAAAGCCACGGGTGAAGGTGTGAGGGTGAAAGATTAAGGCGCACGAAGGTTCAAGTCCGGACCTGAAAAGCTGGCGAGAATTTTGCCAATGCTCTTAGAGCGTGATACTCCAAAAATGACCAACCAAGCACTCAGAACTTGTCATCATATCTGCCCGATAGATTTGAATGAATTCACGCTTCGACGACGTTTAAAATCATTAGAATGCGGTCCTTAAGTTACGTGGGTTCAAGTGAGGTCTGGCAACATAGTGTCTGGCAGAGGATTCAATCGTCCCTATGGTTCATGCGCCTCCCCCGAGCATCCCCAACCTTAAGGACCTTGCAATCAGTATTGAAAGCAGGTTGCAAAATTGTGCGAGGACCCTTCTTTCAAGTTTTCTGTTTGCTGCAGGACATCTACTCTATCGAGGCGCTGTCAGTGGCTTTGGCTGCGCCTTTGCCAGTTTTGAGAAAGAGGAGTCGCATTAAGGTTCAAATGGTGCAGGGTTAGATTTTAAGGAACGATAATGCGGGGCTTTCAAAAACTGCGGCCCAAGGGCAGAAGCTACTTATGTAAGATGTGGGCCTCCGGAAGCAGACTTCATGCACTCGCGTGTAGGGACCTGTTTGTTGCGTGGCATCCAACCGCCCACAAACGCAATAAGGTTGAAAGAATGCCCTAGATTGCACACTCAACAATTTCGGCTTAGATTCAGGTTTTCTGTGGCTGGAGTGTTTGACTTTTCGGCAAGAGGTTGGTTTCAACCGCTGTAAATGACCTGTGTTACAACTAACTGGACCAGCAAGTCTGTCTAGGCCTGGCAGCTCACGAAAGCATTCCCAGGTTTGTTTCACACGTTGACTCCTTGATCGAGGGAGGACAGCTTCCTCGCTTGTGAGCAGGTTGCCAATCCTCAACCCGAAGCACGGTTTGATTCCTAGACCGCTTCCTTTACTTCCCAAGCCCTATAAACCTGTACTTTGGATCCTGATTCTGAAGTGTTAGATCCGGCAAGGCAACCTTGAAACTTCAGCCAAGGAGTTTAAAGGGGCCGTCTTGCTCATCACACACAACCGCGATGTTCTCCGGAAGGTGGCAAAGGACACCATCCCCTTGACCTGTATCCATGAAACCTGCACGGTTGCCAGCAAATCCCTGAACTATGCCCCGTATGCCCGCGCATACAATGCCAACTTCCCAAGGCAATTGTTCCTAGGTGCAGGTTGTTGTTCTGGACCCAAGCTATAATGAACACTGTTGAAGTTTTCATGTTGTTTCCTGGGTTCCAGTCGCAGCACACAAGCTGTCAAGATGACCTTCGTACATCTCTGACATGTGTGATTTCCCAAAAGCCGGACAATAAAGGGTGTGGAGAGGGTGTTCAACATCAGCATCTTAAGGGTGAAGTGATTCTGATCCACACGCAACTCTCATGCAGTCTCTAGTTTTAGCAGGAGCTCTTCGTGGTCTCGAAGAGCCAGCGGCGGCTGTCCTTGGCAACTGGGTCATGGATGGATGGGCGTGTAATTGGTCAAAGATGTACTTTTCCATGTAGAACACAAGCCCAAAAAATGCCTAAAGCGTGGGCCAAGAAACATGGCGTTCGAAGCCCTACATCAGTCTCCAGAGCCAAAGTCCCAAATCTATGAGTTCAAGCCCTCAGTCCTAACAATCCTCAAGCCCCAAGCCGTCAGGCTTAAGTCCCCAAATCAGAATCCCCAAATCCCCAAACCCATAAACCTAGTTTTGTAAACCCTGGATGCCTAACTGAATCATGAAGCTCTAACATCCTGACTCTTGAACTCCAAAAACAGAATCTTCAAATCCCTAGACAAACCTCAAATCCTTCAATCCTAGCATCCCTGCCAAGCTTGCAAAGGCTGCAACGCAAAGAAGCCAAGGTGAGCCGGGCGCTCCCGGATGGGCCTCCACTGGAAGTCCCCGCCTTCTCGGAATTATCGAACCTCGAGTGTTTTTGGGGTGGGGATTCATGAGATTTGGGGTTATTAGTTTTCTGTGGATTCAGAGATGTAAGGGTTTATGGACTTGGTGATGTAAGGGCTCAGGATCAGTGCTGGGAATGAGTTGGATTCAGGGTGCAAGGTGCAAGGCTCCCTCACACGAAGTGCAAGGAAGTCTCTTCTTTCGGGAATTGAACTCTGGTTTCCAAAGCGTTCCATGGGCAGGGACGAGCCTTAATCAAACGGGGGCCGCTTGCAGAATTCCAGGGGCTTCAAACCGCAGAAGGGTAAGTTTTCTGGTCCTGCGTTTGATGCATTTCTCCTTGCCTTTAGCCCACCCCCTCGACGTGAATTGCAGCTACCCCAGCAATCCGGACATGGAAACCACAAAGCCCTAAAACTGAAAATCTGAATTGTTACCACTGGCCCATTGAACCCTGGCCAGCCACTCAGGCCCAGGGCTTCCGCCGGATGTACAGCGCCGGCAAGAGCGAAAGTTCAGAAGCCCAAGAGCCCTTGTTCTGCAACTGGGCAGCAATCGCGCATTAGTTCATCTTGAAGGTCAGGCTTCACGGAGCCCAAAGGGGGATTGGGGGTGTTGGGCTTTGGGCACGTGAATTAGGGATTAAAGGTTTCGACCTTCTTTGTCTTTACTCGCCCCCATCGAATCTAGGATCATCCCCGTTGTCAATGTAGAGGGCGCCTATTACGCGGGCTTGGGGATTAGGCTGTTCACACTTCACAGTGTGCCGTTCTTTTTGTTTTCGCGCATGTGGTTAATTTGATGCAGTCTCAGCTCCCGGTTCTTGATATTTACGGGCGCTTTTGATAAATGTGGTGCTGAGATTTGTTTTTCAAGTCTCAGGGTTGGCTCAAGAGAGGCATGGAAGTTTTAGGATGCTCACATACTGACAGCTTCCTTGGCAGCTGCTGGGGCGGTCTCAGGTTTCTGAACTGAATTCTAGGTCCTGGGGAACATGGCAGCTTTTCGTGGCCTCAAACCTCCAGGTTGGCCCATCCACCTTTTTGGCCCTGACATCCAGAATGCAGCGCCGAACCTCAACTGTTCCACATCGACATGTTGACATAGCCTTCAAGGAAGCCACGGAGTAGGCCCTACACCCAGCATCCTTTCTAACTTGCCGTACCATCTCTTCAATTCAAAGCACCCTACATAATGAACCTGTAGTCTCCCACCAAATCAACACAATAGCTCTCCGCCTAACATACTTGCCTCGTTTGTCATCCCCACACCAAGCCTCATTTGAAACCCACTAGAGCATCCGCACCTCCACATCTTGGATCACGAAGTAAGGCGGATGCGGAGCCTTCGAAGAAGGCTTCGGGATACTCTGAAACGCAGCTGCCGCCCTGGCTGCGGCAAAGCCGACGTCCCCGGCCGGCGGCTTCATTGCAGTCATAGCGAAATACATAAGCATTCTTCTGATCCGCATTGCTCTTGTGGTGTCAAGCAGAAAAATATGATTCGTTCTGTTACTAGTCCATTTCGACAAAGTCTTTAGTTCCCTGCTCAGCACCAGAGAACAAGGCCTGAGGCCTACATCCTGGGAACACGCTCACGCCACTGTGTTACAGTGTCCAGTAGTGGCAGTAGCAGATTCCTCTGGAGTTTGTGCGTTAGGACAAAAGCTGAGTTCCTCAGCGCATAGTGCAGGACTCTGAGGTGGGGTGCTCCGGAACATCAGAAAGCCTCCAAACTTACTTGGAGACTCATGGGACTTAGTATTTGTATTATTTAGGGTTAGAACCCTCGGTGTACTTGGGGATTATGAGTACAGGGTTATTAAGGGCTTGCGCAGCTTGCCGCCGACCCCGGCAAGAGGCAGCCGGGGCGGCGGCGGCTGATGAGTCGTAAGAAAATTCTTAATTTTGGAAGGGCGAGAGGGGGGGGAGGGAGGGGGCGGGAAGAGAGGGGGGGTGGCGGGCTAGAGGTGGGAGGCCTAGGCAAGACCCTCAAAAATCCTGAAACGGCAACTCTCGAGAATTTTGGAAGGGCGCGGGCTTTCTCTTGAATTTTTGGAAGGGCGAGAGGAGGGGGAGGGGGGGGGCCTGATGTAGAAAGTAGGGCCCC